GCACAGGCAGCTGGGACTTAGGTTTAAGGATTTGCTGGGACTAGAACATCACTGCTGTTCGGTGTGACCACTGGATCCAAACGGAGTGAAAATCGGGTGCATCAGTACAATGAGCTGCGTGCACAACCAGGTATCCAAGCTGTAGGCATTTGATCGAGAAGAGTTCTCGTCTCAACTGGGAGCTTGAACAGGGCCAGCAAGCAGTTCTGGGTATTAACGGAGACAGAAAGTCCAGGTCCAACGATTGTTGACAACTCACTGGGCCTTGCCTCCGTGTGGGCTGATTGGAGTTTGTAGCTCAGTCCACACTGGGAGACAGGCCATGGCCCTGAGGGTCCTCTGTGGCTGGGTGCCTGCAGAGGGACTGCCTGGACAGGCTGGGGGGAAGACACAGAAGGGGTATGCTGGAGAAGTAGTGTAGTACTGGTCACATACCTGTAAGGATTCGGGGACAGACATGGGCCCTCAGAAACCCAAAGGTACAGGAAAGCTGAACTACATGGGCAGAGGCAGAAGGGCAGGAGCAGAGTAGGGACATTTGAAAGTGAGGAAAAGAGCGGCTCTGCTGACTGAGGGATAGCTTCCTGGGGTGCCTGACCACGCATACACACTTGTGGAGAAGGGTGCCGAGGCTCAGAGAGGTCAGGAAGTCACTCTGCAATTAAGCTGAGGCCCATGTTGGTAGCGAGGCCTCTCAGAGGACCACAAGGATGCCAAGGAAGGAAGCATCTGACCCAAGTCACTGCTGGAATCAGCATACCCTTAGATTCCGACACCTGAGGTTGACACTCAGGGATTCGAGGCCTGATGTCCTGGCTACCCTGAGTTCAGATCAGCCCACCCTGCCCGTGGCCACGTGGCTGACGGGATTTCCGCCATGTTTGAGGCATGAATTGACAAGTGCTCCATTGACGGGGCAGGGGAGGGGGTAGGCAGGGCACAAGACTCCCACTGTGCTGCGTCCCCACCCTCCCCACCCCCCAGGACAATGGCCAAGACTCAGCCAGCAGCCACAGCTGGTGGGGGGGGCATGAGAAGGGGGACAGGGAGGGTCCAGGGTGGAGGGACCACCTGGGTCCCTGCCTGCTCGCCTCCTGCACCTGGCTTGGGTGTTCTCATCCCTTGTGCCCAGATGAGTCATCTTAAAAGGAGGAGGAGAAAGGGGACAGGCTGTTTTCCCACAGCCGGGACCCTGGCCTGCCTGGGTAAGAGTAGCATCTGGGTCTGGCTTTTGTTTCAAGCAGGTAATAAAGGGCCTAATTAGTGTGGAGCTCCTGGGGTACAGCTCTGCGGGATAATGTGGGACACGGAGAGGCCCTGTCTAACCCTCGCCTCTAGGTCTTATGGGGCCTGCCCAAGGTCTCCAGGCCCAGCCAGGCCACCTCTAGTCTCTGGTCCACCATCTTGTTCACCCATTCGTTCTGTGGCTATTAATCTTGCCTGCTGTAAACTGGGATTCTTACGTTGCAGACACACAGGAGCCATAGCCCATTCCTGCCCTGGAACTAAAGGAAAGATATCCACTCTCGGTCTCTTCCTCTGTACAACAAATGACAGTGGTCTCATGGGAGAGATATTCCTTAGAATGTGGAAGTCAGATTGTGGGCACTCACTCACCTTTTCCAGGGAGGTGTGAGGCAGCTGGGTGAGCAGGTTGACAACCTGACATGAAAGGAGAAGAGGGGCAAAAGAAAGAGTCATGGAGGCCACGTGGGTTGGGATTTTGGGTAATAAAAACCTGCAAAAGAATGGGAATTGACTTCCTCTGGTAGCGGCAACAGCATATGCAAAGGCCCTGTGGATGGTGTGTTTGTCCCTGACAGGAAGGAAGCAGGAACTGGGCTTCAGAGAATGGCACAGAGGAGGAAGCTGAGGTACGAGCAGAAGGCAGACAGTACCAGGCTTTGGACCGCCGAGGGGCTCTGGGTTTATAATTTGCTGGGCACATTTGTTGGAGGATTTGAGGAGGGAAAGCACAGATACTGACTGGTGACATTGGGGTACCACTTTCTGGATGGCCTGTGGCAGGGCAGTGCTCACTTCAGGTGGTCTTGAGAACTGCAGAGCGGGTGAGGAGGGGCAGCATGCTGTTTTGAGTCTCCAGCCCTGCAGGCATTCCCCACCTGGATCCAGTGTTTCATGGTTCTCTTGGCACTAGGACAGTACTCCTAGAGTGTACCCTGAGGACTGTGTCCTCTCCTGGGCCCCTAGGGGGCCCTGTTCCAGCCTCAAGAGCCCCAGGCTCCCACAGGCCTCCTTAACAATAGAGATCTGTGGACTAGGTTGGGACCCTTGCACGGTATCTGGGCAGTGTTGGAAGAAGACAGGCCTGTAGGGAGCAGGAGGTGTAGGGGGGTCCCGCATGCCTCAAGAAGCCTCAGCTTCTCCCCCTCCAGAACCCGAGACCCACCTCACTCTGCCATCAGCCTCCTCCTCCCACCTCGGTCCTCCCGGACCCTGGCACGAGAGGGTCCCTCCTCCCCTAGCCACATCTGGTTCTTGTTAGGGTCTCCCAGGATGCCTGGGCCTGAGGCCCCCATCTCCCGGGGGAGGTGGACAGGAGGATTAGGGGCGATTAGGAGTGCTCCTGGCCAGGGGAGGAGGGGCCCAAGAAGAGGGGCTAGAATGGTTATAAACAGCAGCCCATGACCGAATCAGCCCATCACTCACCCAAGGTGCCAAGTTCAGTCTCAAAAACCTGCAGCTTCAGCAGCTGGGGCAGAGTGGGGGTGGGGCCTTAAGTTCTCCTGCCTGCTTCAGAAACCCTTCTGCAATGCTGTGGGGCAGGGACCAGACTGGGAGAAGATGTAGAAACATCAGCTATACCTTTCTTCCTGGGGTCAGATGGACTCATCTTGCTGTGTGACTTTGGGGGTGAGGAGGGATCTTTATGAACAATGGAGACAGAGGTAGTAACACCAGATTCGTGGAAGTGACCGCGGGGTAAACCGCAATGTTTTAAATACTTAAATAGTGCCTGACCAGAGAGCACGAGCCTCCATTATTGTCATCACATAATGTGGATTCAGGACTGGTAGGCACTCCATCATGAGCTGCCATCACCAGCAATGCCGCTTTCCTCCTTGTTATGAGGGGTTGGTAGGATTTAGCGACACGTTGCCTGTGAAGTTGGCAGAACGCCTCACATAAACTCGGCAATGGGGGCATACAGTAGGCACTCAACTATTGGCAGCTATGGCTGCCAGAAATGAGGGAGGTGAAGTTGGAACTTAGGCAGACAGACAGGCTATGTACAGCCCTGCAGGTCATGGCCGGCACTAGCCATGCGTGGTGGGTGGGTGCCCTCTGTTCCCGGGCTGGGGTGAGCCTGGGTGGGGGTCAGTAAGAGGCCCTTGTCTGTCACAGGCAGCGTGTGACTCCTAGGAAGGCTTAGCCGCTCATGCTCATTAATTCATTAATCACCTAAGCGGGGCTCCGCATTCTTCAAATGCCAGCAGGGGACAGGGAGGGGCCTGGGCTGGGGGCTCAGAGACCCCAGGGCGCTGGGATTCTGGAGGTGAAGACAGCCCCCCCCCTTTTGCAGGGCTCCCACTGTGTGCAGTGCACTTCAGGATCTGTATATCTACAGCTTTACAGCTGGCACAATCGCTCCAAGAAACAGCGATATTCACTCCCCATCTTCCCAGGAAGGATACCAAGGCCCAAAGAGGGTATGGCCGCCTTGAGGGCACATAGCAGGCTGAATTAGATGCGGTTTGTCCTGACCAGCCTGAGCCCTGTTCCCAAGGCTCTCCTGAGGAAGGACTCAAGGTGCCAATCCAGGACTTGAGGCTCTCGATCAGTGGTTCTTAACTAACCTTCCTAACGCTGAGACCCTTTAATGCGGTTTCTCGTGTTGTGGTGGCCCCACCCATAAAATTATTCCATTGCCACTTCATAACTGTAGTTTTGTTACTGTTATGGATCGTAAGTAAATATCTGATCTGCAAGATATCTGATATGTGGCCTCTGTGAAAGCAATTCGACACCCTCAGGGGTTGCGACCCACAGGTTGAGAACCATTGCTCCAGAGGGTCGCTCCTGCCTCAGTGGAGCCGGCCAGTCAAGTCTTCAGTGTGGGTGGGGTGTCCTCTATTATCGGGGTTGACGCATCTCTCACGTCAGCCCCCTTATCACTCCTCCCCTTGGCTGCCCCCCTCCTCGCCCCACAAGGTGACCCTGGGAGAGGAAAGGCCATCACCACCCCCTCTCTTTCCTTGCCATGCCCAGGAGCCCTGGACTACATTTCTTTGTCCTTTCCCTTTCATGGGCCTGAGGCCAGGGGAGGATAGCAGGCAGGCAAGCAGGTGGAGGGTAGCGAAGCAGAGCTCTGGCCACTATCCCTCCCTGGGTGAGGCCAGGACAGACTGCCCCTCTCATCCTTTGTCTCCTCTGGGGAGTCGGGTCTGAGCTCCCTACTCAGAGGCACAAAGGCAGTGGGCCTCGCCACCAGAGATGGGCCACGCTGGCACTGCCGATCTTGGTTTTCAGCTTTCCCTGAAGCTGGAGCCTGGGGTTCAGTGGTTCCTTGAATTCCTGGGCCCCAGGAAGTATGTTTTGCCCTGCCAGACCTCATGCCTCCAGTGCTCAAGGCTGGGTCTCCTGGAAGGACAGGGCAGGACAGTCATTCTGGGTCTGAGCCACTGGCGTGGTAGGGCCTTGCTTATTCCTCAGAGCACTCTGTAAAATAGAGGCACAGATGAGAGGGATGGAGATGATCCTGTCACACAGCCAGAAAAAGGATGTGGAAGGACAAGAGTGGTTTCTCTGTCCCCAACCCCATACATTAGGCTGCTGATCTCCTGGGAAATGGGGTATCCTTGAGGGGTGTGGGCAGGCATTATTTTTAGAGGGGCGCTGGGTGTACAGTGAAGGACCATGCGCAGAGGGGAGATAGGTCACACGTTTCAGAGATCCTAACCTGGGGTGGGGGGGCTGGTGGGACCTAGGCCTGGGGTCTTCGGGGAGCTATCTCCAATCCAGCTGCCCCTGCTTTGCAGGCCATGACATCAGCGGTGCCCTGGAGCCCTCCAACATAGACACCAGCATCCTGGAGGAGTACATCGGCAAGGAGGACGCATCGGACCTGTGAGTCACCTTAGCTGAGACTTCTGGGCCGTTCCCTGCGGGAGGGGATGGAACTTCCCCTCAGGCCTGGGGACCTGGGGGCTGAGCCTCCTCCCTTCCCCACAGCTGCTTCCCTGACATCTCTGCACCAGCCAGCACAGCCTCCTTCCCCCACGGGCCACCAGCCATTCCCGGCTCCAGCGGGCTCCACCATCTGAGCCCCCCTGGGAGTGGACCATCCCCTGGGCGCCATGGCCCCCTCCCACCCCCGACCTACGGCACCCCACTCAACTGCAACAACAACAACGGCATGGGCACCGCCCCCAAGCCCTTCCTGGGGGGCTCTGGGCCTCCCATCAAGGCAGAGCCCAAGGCTCCCTATGCCCCAGGGTGAGTGGGGCCAGGGAGTGGGTGGGGACAGAGTACAGGGGCACAGTTGGCCACTGTCCAGCAGATGTAGGCCTGTGGACTCACTGTGGGTAGGGTTAAATGACAAACTCCCTATGGGTAGGCTCCAAAAGGGGTGATAGGAGGCTTCAGTGTTTTTTTCTGAGGCCATGAACAGGCGCGAGGGTTCTGAGAACAGTGAGGAGAGGGTAGTGCCAGAAAAATCTCAAAGCAAAGTTGTAACAGAAGCAGGAAGACCCGGGACCCCAATCAACATCCAGGAACCCAAGCACACATACGCTCCGCCACAGGGCACCCAAGCACAGTGCCAGGCCCCATCAACCCATGGAGCGTTTAGCTGACATTTTCTGTGTCCCGAGAGTTGCCAGTGCCTCAGGTATGGCCTCTTACCTTGTGGAGCCAAGCACAGTTACATCCTGAGGGGGACTTCACTCTGCCAGCCTCCCCGTCTCTCTCCAACCTACTGTACTGATGTCCTGACTCAGGACTGACCTTGTGCCTGGCTTGACCACCTGCAACCACAGTCCAGCCAGCCTCCAGACCCTGTGGTTCTCAACCCTCCTAATGTTGTGACCCTTTAATACAGTTCCTCATGTTGTGGTGACCCTCAACTGTATAATTCTTTTCACTGCTACTTCATAACTGTGATTTTGTTACTGTTATGAATTGTAATGTAAATATCTGATATGTGACCCCTGTGAAAGGGTCATTTGATACAAAGGTTGAGAACCACTGCTCCTGAGCATGCTTAAAGGGAAATGTCCACCAGGCTCTCCACGAGACCTCAGTGAAGCAGGGCAGAGGTCTTGTCTTTAAGTAGAAGGCTACAGGAGGCATAGATGATGCAGTGCCCAGTAGCCTGGCACCAGCCCTGTTCTCCCATTTGTCAGCTTCTGGGTTTGGTGACCCATGACCTCTGCCAGTGGTTAGGTTTCAGCACCTTTAACTTGAGCCCCACCTTCATAGTGGAAACTAAGAGGAGGAAAGCAGAGTGGAAACACTGGGTAGATACATTTGACACACTGTCAACAGGGACTCCTGAGGACCTGGCTTAGGGTGACTGTCGTGGCGACCAGGCACACAGTGCCAGGGACAAACCTTGGTTGCTTGAGGGTGTCTCTAAGCCTAAGCTGCCTGCGGGTGGAGGGAAAGAGCTAAGCTTCAGCAGGCACAAGTGAACTTCTTGGCCTTCCCCTGAACCAGCTGTAGGTGGCCCCTGAAGATTTTCTTCAGAATCACGTGGGCATCCTAGCGTAGGCTTTGTTGTAAGCACTAAACAAGACAGACGCGTGCCCCATAATGGGTGGTGAGCAAGGAACTGAAGTGTTGCTCAGTGTTGGGGTACTTTCTAGTATGTGCAAGACCCTGGCTTCCCTCTCCAGCACTATAAAAATAAAATAATACACCACGAAAGAGGAAATAACAAGTGAGAACGCAAAAGAATGCAGGTCAGGTCAGGCGGGGCGGTGGTGGCGCACACCTTTAATCCCAGCACTCGGGAGGCAGAGGCAAGCGGATCTCTGTGAGTTCGAGGCCAGCCTAATCTACAAGAGCTAGTTCTAGGACAGGCTCCAAAGCTACAGAGAAACTCTGTCTCAAAGACAAAACAAAACAAAACAAGAAAGAATTCAAGTCATGGGAGCCGGAACGTTCAATGGATGGGAGAGAGGGTGTGAAAGATAGTGGAAGAGCCAAAGATCACTGTCAGGAGGGACAGGGTGAAGACCACTGTCAGGAGGGACAGGGTGAAGACCACTGTCAGGAGGTACGGGGGGACAGGAGGGACAGGGTGAAGACCACTGTCAGGAGGTACGGGCGGGGGGGGCAGGTGGCTGACGGACTTAGAGTGGGACAGAGCTGGATCAGCACACAGACTGAGGTCATAGTGAGGGGTGTGGGGCCCTGCCCTGTCTGCTTTTCATGTTTCCCATAGGAAATCTTGTTTTGGGGTTCACATTTTTTATTTGAGGTTTTTGGTTTTGAACTCAGGAGCTCTTCAAGCATGCTAGGCAAGTGCTCAGCCAGTGAGCTACATCCTGGACCCCCTCTTTTTCACTTTTTGAGACAGGGTCTCTCTAAGTTGTCCAAGTTGACCTTAAAGTCATTCTGTAGCCCTGGCAGGTCTTGACTTTGTGATCCTCCGTCTTGAGCCTCCTCAGTATTGGGGTACATGTCTGCATCAGATTCAGGATCTTTATTCTTGAACTGATTTCAGAGATATAATGAGGCCTCCACAAGCTGGCGGGGGGGCGGGGAAGAAGTGGGCATGGCTTGTCCAGGGAGGTGGTAAAACTCTACAGCCAGAGCAGGAATGTGTTCGCAAAGACTCTGAAGCCTTTCTGATGGTCCCTGGGCATGGTGGAGGGGAGTCTGTCCATATGTAGGAATGAGAGTTGACTAAAAAAATGTCAGATCCCTGGGCAGCCGCAGTCTCTCTCTCTGGGCGAGTACATGGTTTGTACAGGACATGTTGACCTCTGGGTTTGAGTTTGTTCTTTTGCCTGAACCACTGATAAAATAAAACTTGCAGGGGGAAAAAAAAGCCTAGGCCCAGAAAAGCTGGCTCCCTGCCCAGTTCACGCCCCAGTTCACACCTGCCTCTGGCAAGGCAACTCCTGGGTAACCCACTGAACCACCTCAGATCCAGCCCCCAGGTCCTAGGATTTCCAGGAAGCTGGAGTCTTCAGTGGGTGCCTAAGGGAAGCGGAGACCTGGACCCTCACTCCGAGGAGCGGGGAGTCCTTCAATCCCTGTGCCACTGTCAAGAGACCTGGCCACTGACCCACAAATAACCATTATTAGGTCTGGAGATCCAGGGCAGAATACAGAAGCCCTTCACCCACAATATAGCCCTGGATCCTTCCAGAGCTCTAGGATAGACAGAGATACCCCGAGGCATCTGTGAGGAGCTCTCCATGGCCTCAGTCTCTGGCGAAGATGGGGAGGGAGGCCTTTGCAACCCTGCCCACAGAGGAGCTGCCTGGCTTGAGGGTTGGGTTTGGGGGTTCAGCTGCTGACCCAACAGTCTCCCTCCTCCGGCCCCCCTGCAGCACTCTGCCAGACTCGCCCCCAGACTCAGGCTCTGAGGCCTACTCCCCTCAGCAGGTGAATGGTGAGTCCAGCGGGCAGCACCAACCTCCCCCTCTGGGTTTGGGCAAATGGTTGGTGCAGCCTTATCAGGGAGAGAGGGAGGAGGGAGGGAGGGGGCCAGCGGCTGCCCAACGGGTCAGATTATCGCTGGTCAAATACTCCTGGCGCTGGCTATTGTTCCCCCATGGGCGGGTGGGAAGCCTGGTCCTGCCTCAGAGCAAGTGTCCCTGCTGGCGATGCCACCGTCTGGCCCCCTGTGCCATCATGGACGCGCCCTTTGGCGGTAAGTGGACAGCTGAGGAAAGCTGCTGCTGGGTCCACCTTTCCAGGGTGCTGAGGGGCACAGTGGCCCCATGTGGTCAAGAGTAGAATGATCGTGGGCAGACTGAAGAGGGGTCAAGAGTTCTGTTTATCCTACCAAAACATCCCTGGAATGCTTCCTGAGGAACAAAGGGAGCTGCAGCCCCCTCAGGCTGGGGGACTGGCCCCTGGAACTGGGAGTGGGGCTGCTGGAGGGAGGAGGCCGGGTGGGGGACTGGGCTGGGGTCGCCGGGAGACTCTTCAGGCTTCAGAGAAGTTAGAGTCTGGGGATCTCCTGAGGGGCTGGACAGCCTAGGGAAGAGAGATGGTGAGGATGGGGAGCCACCCACAGTCTGACTTCCCTGCTCAAGCTCTCATAGCTGGCCTTCCAGTCTTCCCACCCAGCCTCTGGCATGGCTCAGGAGGGCACGGAAGCAAGAGACCGTGCCTAGGGAGAATGGGTGAGGTGGGTTTCTGACTCCTGTCCCCCATCTCTTCCCCAGACCCCCATCTTCTGCGCACCATAACCCCGGAGACGCTGTGCCACGTGGGAGTTCCTTCCCGACTGGAGCACCCGCCCCCACCTCCAGCCCACTTGTCAGGCCCACCCCCACCCCCGCCACCCCCACCTCACTACCCTGTCATTCAGCGGGACCTCTACATGAAGGCTGAGCCCCCTGTACCCCCCTATGCTGCCATGGGGCCGGGGCTGGTGCCTCCCGAACTCCACCACCCCCAGCAGACTCAGGTGCTACACCAGCTGCTGCAGCAACACGGAGCTGAGTAAGGCTTGGGTAGAGCCTCCACGGCAGGAAGGTGGGTGGGAGTCAGGGCATCAAGAGTAGGCGAGACAGGGTGGCCCTGGGGAAACAGACGCCCTATAGGACCGATGCTTGAAGGGCTGACAGCCATAGCTGATCGGTGACAGCTACACCATTCACAGATGGGTAAACTGAGGCTCTAAGAAAAGAACATAGTTTCCCCGAGGCCATGGACTAGGAAAAGGCAGAGCCAAGACTTGAAACTGAAACTGAATCCTTAATCCAGACCCCAGTGCCTTTCTGTCCACTTACTGAAATCCTCAGGTTTCTGAGAGTGGCCATGTATGTAGGATGCTCTGTGTGACGCAGAGGTGCGCTGTGGAGGCTCAGACCCCTGCCCTCCTGGATTCCACAGGGGTAGGGGTAAGACTGTAGCAAAGGCAGAGAACAGGAACACTGAGTGGCAGGCGAGTACTGGGAAGGCACCTGAGGGCTTCCTGTCGGAAGTGTCTTCCTGGCTGGGTATTGCCTGCTGAAATGGTGTCCAGAGCAGAGGGGTGGGCACTGCACAGGAGAAGGCTCAGGGAGAGACAGCCAACCCCCATGCCACTCACCTCTGCCCCCCAGGCTCCCTCCACACCCCTCCAAGAAGAGGAAGCACTCTGAATCACCCCCCAACACCCTCAATGGCCAGATGCTGAACGGAATGATCAAGCAGGAACCTGGGACTGTGACAGCCCTGCCCCCACACCCCGCCAGAGCTCCATCCCCTCCATGGCCTCCCCAGGGCCCCCTCTCACCTGGCACCAGCTCCTTGCCCCTCAGCATTGCCCGAGTCCAGACTCCACCTTGGCACCCACCAGGTGCACCCTCCCCAGGTAGGTGACTGACAGGCAGGCCATTGATGTTGGGGAGTGGGAGCCCTGGGCTTAGGTCTAACCTGGTATCCCTCCCTCCAGGCCTCCTGCAGGACAGTGATAGCCTCAGTGGCTCCTACCTGGACCCCAACTACCAATCCATCAAGTGGCAGCCGCATCAGCAGAACAAGTGGGCGACCCTGTATGACGCCAACTACAAGGAGCTGTGAGTGACCTGTGCCACCTAGCCACCTTGTCTTGGGACAGCTTAGGACCCCACTGAGGTCCTAAGTCAGGACCTGGGAGTGCTCTGGGTTTAAAAGAATCACATGTGACAGAAGAGCCAACAAGCTCAGGGAAGAGTTAGACCCAGGACTCAGACTTCTGGGCTCTGGTCAGCCCAGGTCTCTCCCAAGGGAGTGGTATCTACCAGGGAGGGGCCTTGGGAGCCAAGTCAGGAAGAAGTGGGTGGGCACACATCATCTGGCCCCTCCTCTTCCTACATTCCAGGAAGATAGCCTTATGCTTAGCATAAATCGGGTCCTTACAGCAGCCTGTGGAGGAAGGAGGGGTAAGGGGAACTGGGGGTGCGGCTGCCCAGGGCAGTCCTGTTCCTTCTTCAACACCATGTGGATCTAGCTTACCAGGCCAAGAGCCCAGTGGGGACCACCCTCCTGCCTCCCCTAAAAGGCCAATGGGTACGTCAGAGGGTGACACCTCCTCGTGTACTTCGGACTTAGCCAAACAGGAGCTAGATGACTGGGGCCCTCTCTTCAGAATAGTGGCTGAGACAGGCTTCCTGGAGTGGGTGCCCTGAGCTGGGCAGTTTCTGTCCTGTACCTCCCAGGGCTGGGTAGTGTGGGATGCCCAGTTGTGATGGCTGCTGAAGTGAGCTAGGTGGCGTTCATGGAATCTGGTCCCTATGGCCTGGAGAGATATCCCTCTGTTCACACCTCCATACTCCTTGGGCACTTTGCTATCTCCATGTCTAGGCTCCAAAGCCAGAGAGCTAGCTGCAGAGGTCCCCACTGTGGCCCAGGTACTTTCTAAGGTATTCGCTTAGGCCAGACAGATGGGTGAGCCCTGTAAGGGAAGAAAAGATGAGACCAGGCCTGCCCTTGGAACTCGCTCATAAGTGGGGAGGCATTCTCCTTGTCCAGCTTCCTGTTGGTGTCCAGCAGGGTACCTCTACTGCGTGGTAACTCCGGGAAGGGTGAGTCAAGTCCTAAGTCTACAAGTGCTCTCTTTACTGCCCCTGGAGGTGCCCTAAAGACTCCAGACACTGTCCCGGCGACAGATGGCAACCTTCAGTTGTTTCTGAGGGGAGTTCAGGAACCTGAAGTACGCCCTCTTTCTGGGGCAGTTGTGGGAGTCAGAATGAGGGCACTGGGGGCCTTGAGCAAGGGGGTGGGCCAGGGTGGGGCAGGGTGGGCCCAAGGCAGAGCTGGCTCCTGGTTCCACCGTTTCCGTGGCAACCAGCTGTCAGGCACAGTGAGACACTGCAGATGCAGCCCCTCTCATCCCATCTCCCACAAGGGAGGGGGCTTCAGGCAACATGTGGGAAATGGTTAAGTGTGCTGAAGGGTGGCCAAGGCCTTCCTCTAGAGTCCCCTCACTTCCGGTGGGCCTTGGCTTGCTTCCTTCATCCCAGCATGGGACAGTGGGTGGCCCCAGGCGTGTAACACAAAAGCCTGTGTGGCTTCTCTTGGGGGCTTAGTCTCCAGGCTAGAATGGTTCTAGCCTCTTGGTGGTTTGAAGGATCTTGGAGGATATAGACTATGTAATGGCGTTGGAATACGGACCTGTAGGAGGAAGCAATACTCCACATTTAGCTTGGGGAACTCCTGATGAGTCTCCGTCCCTTCCCCCCTCTCACCTCTAGGCCTATGCTCACCTATCGTGTGGACGCTGACAAGGGCTTTAACTTTTCGGTGGGTGATGATGCCTTTGTGTGCCAGAAGAAGAACCACTTCCAGGTGACTGTGTACATCGGCATGCTGGGCGAACCTAAGTATGTTAAGACGCCGGAAGGCCTCAAGCCGCTGGACTGCTTCTATCTGAAGCTGCATGGAGTCAAGGCAGGTTTGGGGTTCGCCTAGGAAGGGAGAACAGGAGGGCCAGGAAGCTCCAAGATGCAAGCGACGAGGAAATACCCCACAGTCATATCCCACGGCTGCCCTACCCCTGCACCTCTTCTAGTGCCAGCCACCTAGATGTGGCCTGCACGGACTTCACCATCTCCCTTATGCCTTGCTTCCTTCCCCACTCCACACCCCAAGTCTTTATCTCCAAGCCAAGACCCATCTTCTGGCCCTCTATCTGATGCCTCGGCTCTCAGAACCAAACCAAATGTCACTTGTCCCTGCCCCATGCTCCACCTCAGAATCCTGACTCCGCAAGCTATATATCCTAGGGACCCTCTTCCCCTCAGCCTGTCATACACGGTTCTGGAGTAGCCCTCGCCTCCTCCCCATTGCCTCCCCCTTGACCTGAGTCACCCCTATCCTGTATCTGAATACCCAATCAGCATCTACTCTGTCCTCTATCCCCCTGACACAAGTGATTGCCATACACCCCTCCCTTCCCAAGACTCCACTGTCTTCTAAGCTGCGCCCACAGGGCTTTAGAAATCCACCCCTGTGTGTTCTGAGTCCCACATTTGCCCTCCTAGAATCCCATCCCAGCTCTCTATCCCATTGCCCTTGGCAGATTCCATTCTGATGCCCCTCAGGGAAACCTGCCCCGAGGCCCTTTGTGACTGAGGGATTCCATAGCGTAGCCTTTGGAGCCATGAGCTCCCTGGGGACAGGACAAGGTGTGTCTGATTCTGTCACAAGGTGGGCCTGACTGGGTGGCACGGCTCAGCCACTGTTTCTGAAGAGATGAGAGGCTGTGGGTATGTGAGAGTGGCTGGGGTATGCTCTGTGTGTGTGTGGGGGGGGGGGGCTGGCTGCAGGGGAGAAAAGTGTGCAGGTGTGTGTCATAAAGCTAACTGGAAAACACGTGGGCATGCATGGAGATGTTCGGGAGTCAGATGGCACACGATGATGGGTTGCCATCAGGGAGGTGACCATACATCACCATCCAGAAGTAGGGGAAGTAATGAGCTGTGAGCCGATGCGAAAGCTATGTGCGTCATTGAAATGGCTTGGGAGTGTGGGGTGTGGATGTGGAGGCCCCCGAGTTTATGAGAAAGTGCGGCAAAGGCAGGATTCTGCCACAGACCAGAGTGAGTGGATGAAGGAGGAAAAGACCAGGGGGCAAACCTTGTCCTGAGGTGCCCTGGTCCCGTTGCTCTCCAGCTGGAGGCCCTGAACCAGTCTATCAACATTGAGCAGTCTCAGTCAGACAGAAGCAAGAGGCCCTTCAACCCTGTCACGTGAGTATCCAGCCCTGTGGGGGTGGAGCCTGGAAGGGCCCATCTTAGATAGAACTCGCTAGAGAGACAGGCGGGCGCCTTGCCTGTGGTTGCGCGTTTGGTTGTGCGGCTGCGCTGCAGCACGGCTCCTCGCAGCCTGTTTTTCTGTCCCCTGAGCTCTCTGCCCATCCTCTGCAGGGTCAATCTTCCCCCTGAACAGGTCACAAAGGTGACCGTGGGGCGGCTCCATTTCAGTGAGACCACTGCCAACAACATGAGAAAGAAGGGCAAGCCCAACCCTGACCAGAGGTGAGCAAGTCTTCCTGGACACGGGAGCCCCTCCCTTCCGAGGAGCAGGGTCAGAAAGGGGCCTCCATGGAGCATGCCAGGCGCAGGTCCACAATGGCCTGTTTCCCAGAGGAGGAACTCGAGGTTCAAAATATTTGGCAGATTTAGGACTCAGGCTCAGAAGACTAGCTCTTGAGTTCAGAAACAGTTCTTGCGCTCCTCGTGGGCCCAGAGAGGAATTTTGCCCCCTAGTGGAGGCTCATGTTTCTCCACTGTGGGATACTGTAATACCGCTACCTCCCGGGGTGCAGGGTGGGGGGAGAGGGGGATGATAGAGTGGGGCTGCGTATCCAGGCATCTGGCCCAGGGAGGATGGTTAGGGGCACTGCTGAGTGTTACTGAGCCCCCCGTGTATCCCAGGTATTTCATGCTGGTGGTGGCCCTCCAGGCACATGCGCAGAACCAGAACTACACACTGGCAGCCCAGATCTCAGAGCGCATCATTGTGCGGGTGAGAGTCATCTCCCCCAGTTCTGGAAGAAATAGCATCAGGAAAATACTATGGGATGGGGTTGGGCTGATGTGCAGCTCTTGTTGGGCACTGGCTGTGTGATCTTGGGCTTTGTCTCCCTACCTAGGCCTCAGGGCCTTCTTTACTGTAAAGCGTGAAGGTGGATCACACCTAGTAGTCTCTTGGGTCCCACAAGTGACTTAATGTTGTCACAATGAACTGGGTAATTGATTGGACACAGGGTGGGGGGGGCAAGGAGACTTAACTAGGTAGGGTGTTCCTGGGGGTTCTCCTTTTCTCAGGGCCCTGAAGTTCCCCTAACTCCAAGACTGATCCAGACCCAACTTGCCATAGGCCTCTAATCCAGGCCAGTTTGAGAGTGACAGTGACGTTCTGTGGCAACGGGCACAGCTGCCAGACACTGTCTTCCACCATGGCCGCGTCGGCATCAACACGGACCGGCCCGATGAGGCGCTGGTCGTGCATGGCAATGTCAAGGTCATGGGATCTCTTATGCACCCTTCCGACTTGCGGGCCAAGGAGCATGTGCAGGAGGTAGGGGCAAGTTCATAGGTGAGGGGCGGTGCTGTGGGTGATGAGTAGGGCCAGTGGGGAGGACCAGGATGCCAGGGTAGGGATGGGAAGGCTGACCTGAGGCCGGCTCTGTCCCCTGGCAGGTGGACACCACTGAGCAGCTGAAGAGGATCTCTCGTATGAGGCTTGTGCACTACAGATACAAGCCCGAGTTCGCTGCCAGTGCGGGCATCGAGGCCACTGCACCAGAGACAGGTAGAGACGTACCTGTGTCCCCAAGCTCTGGTCAGTCTGTCCTGTCTCTCGGAACCTGTTCCCAGGAACCCCTGCATTGACCTTTGGTGTTGTGTTCCGCACTCTGAAATCTTGACCCCTCTGCTACTGGAGTATCATGCCTCCCGGGTCTTTGGATCCCTGCCCTTGGACTCATCATCCTAGGAGTCACCACCTTGGCCTGAGATCTTTGTCACACAGCATTCAGAGATTTCGCATCCTCTGAGAACCCCACCTCCTTCCCCTAAAATGCCACTAGGATCCTACCTAATCCACAAATCCCACATTTTGAGCCTGGGAACTTCTAGGCTGTGAACAGTTGACTGACGGAGCTCCTGCTGCAGGGCTCCTCGAAACTCAATCTCAGATACTTCTCCAGAAAGCTATGAGCAGCTACAGGCGGGACCCCCAGCCACACACCCTTGGCTTGTCCCCAGGTGTCATCGCACAGGAAGTGAAGGAGATCTTGCCTGAGGCTGTGAAGGACACGGGAGACGTAGTCTTTGCCAATGGGAAAACCATAGAGAACTTCCTGGTGGTGAACAAGGTGAGTTATGGGGATCGGAGGGAGCGCTGGGACAGAGGGGCTGGCCCATAGCGGGCACTGACTGGCAGAGGGAGGGAGGAAGAGCTTTCCTCCTGGTACCTCCGGAGTCTCTGCCCACCACTCAGGAAGGGGCCAGTGTTCAAGATGGAGGGGCAAGTTAACCATGGGAGGCTGACACAGGGCAAGATGAATCCCACTGAGGTTTCATCCCCCGACCCCCATCAATTAAAAAGAGGATAAGACAATGTGCCACCTCCCGTCCCGAGGCTCAGAGGTGTGGTTTATTATGAAGGTAACACTTGCACTTAGTGACATGAACCTTGTGTACATGTTCTTAGAGAAAGACACATGAATCATTTTACCTACCTGAGGGAGTAGGTGCAAGGGTTGGAGCTCTGATTTAAGAGAGGCAAGGTTGTTTAGCCTAGCCTAGACAGGGGCAGCGGACATGCTGCGTGAACCAGGGCTTGGATGGGGCAGAGGCCTCCGCCAGGCAGGGATATTTCTAGGGCCTCTGTGGGCTGTGGAGAGTGGGGATTCTGTTCCTGCCCCCATCCAGCCCGCAGCTTGCGGACTTCTTGGGCTGATGGTGCCCTGAATGCTGTTGTTGTCCCGGGGCAGGAGCGAATCTTCATGGAGAATGTGGGGGCTGTGAAGGAGTTATGCAAGCTGACAGACAACCTGGAGACTCGCATTGATGAGCTGGAGCGCTGGAGCCACAAGCTGGCCAAACTGCGGCGCCTTGACAGCCTCAAGTCAACCGGCAGCTCTGGCGCTTTCAGGTGGGGGTACTGGGTGGGGCTGGGGCAGGCAGGAGAGACCTCTTCTGGAAAACATCCTGACCATTGCCCTCTTACTGCAGCCATGCAGGGAGCCAGTTTAGCCGGGCAGGCAGTGTCCCCCACAAGAAGAGGCCCCCTAAAATGGCCAGTAAGGTGAGGCTGTGCAGGGTTGGGAGACTCAAAGGGCCAGGACTTTCCCATCTCCATGGCCTCTCCCTTCTAGCTTACACCACTCCAGCCTCATCGACTCCAGTTCTAACCCCTCACCTCTCTGCTCTTGGCCTTGTAGCCCTTCCAGCCCTTTTCTGCTTCCTCTCCCTCTGGCCATGAAGAATGGGGTTGGGGAGCCTGGGCAGGGAAGTAAGTTCCTAAGTTCACCATCTTCTGCTGTGTTCTTTCCTCTTGGTCCCCAGCCGTCACCAGTGGTCCCAGACCAGGCCTGCATCAGCCAGCGCTTCCTGCAGGGAACTATCATTGCTCTGGTGGTGGTCATGGCCTTCAGGTGACTTGTCCCTTAGGGACTGGGGAGGCTGGCTTAGAGAGCAGAGCTACCTACCCAGTGGGTCGGATGTGCCTGGGTCCAGGCCCTGGAGTTGAGGAGGACCATGGACTGGGAGTGAAGCAACTGAGGTCAGGGAAGGTGGGCTGCCTAGCCTGTCTCCTCCTCCAGGGTCTAGGAAGGCCTGTTTGCAGTCATCACCTGGGAAGACCACAGAGTGTGCCATAGAGAGACAGTGTTGGGTGGTGGCTTGTGTTCAGACAGTGACCCTTTTCTGTGGCTCCCAGCGTGGTGTCTATGTCCACTCTGTATGTGCTGAGCCTGCGCACCGAAGAGGACCTGGTGGATGCTGATGGGTATGTCCTTAGGGATCGGGATCTGCTAATGGAGAGTGACCTGGGTCAGAGGCATCTCCCTCTAATGGGGTTCAACCTTAGGCTTATAGCCTGCCAGAGCCTGCTGGGGTGGGAGGGGAGGTCTCCTGTATAGTGGGTGCTTTCTACAGTCCCCCTCTGACCTAGTCAGTATTCCTTCAGGAAGGCCACCTGGAAGACACTTGTAGGAAGAGGGAGTGCTGGGCGGGAAGGCCAGAGCAGGACCCTGGGCTCTGTCTGTCACTGTCATGCCCCAGCACCTGGGGCTACCTCTGACTGTGTCTTTTCTCTCTCCTGTGTCCATCTCCCTCCTGGTCTCTCTGTTGTTTCTTAGCTCTCTTGCCGTGTCCACTTCCTGTCTCCTGGCCCTGCTCCGGCCCCAGCATCCTGGGGGGAGTGAGGCCATGTGCCCATGGTATGTGTCTGACCGAGCACCCCTCCCTCCTCTGGCTCCTGCTGCCCTTCTTCCTGCTTCTGCTTCATATATTCCCTCTCCACCACCTCCTGCCCATCCCTGCTTCTCTGGGACTCCCAGCCCCTCAACCCTGCCTCAAGGCTCTCCCAGGGCCTCTGATCTCAACCCACTCTTCCTTAGCAGGTCCAGCCAGAGCGTCGGGACCACACAGCTCCGACAGTCCTCTGTGACTGCTGGAATGCCGGACGCACAGCCCTCTTTGCTGCTGGGTGTGTGTCTGAGGGATGGAGTGGGGCAGGTGGCTGTGTGTGGGGCTTCAGTGTCTTCCTCCTGCTCACACAGCTCTGGTCTCCTCAGTTACCAGTTCAGCCTCAGGTCCAGCTCTCCGTACCTTGGACCTGTGCTCCAGCCAGCCCTGCCCCATCGTCTGCTGCTCCGCTCCCACCTCCAGTCCTGTTACAGACCCTAGTGTTGACCCCACTGCTACCCCTGCTCCAAGCCCCAGGCCCAGCCCCAGGCCCAACCACTCAGGTATGGATGTTTTAGGGGCAGGACCAGGGTTGGCAGGGCTGTTTGGTATTATTTGCATCCAGAGAAAGGCCCCCAGAGGGAAGGTGGGAGGGATTCCTGGATTGAAAGTTGGGGGGGTCACCCCCATGGGAACCAGAAAACACAAGAGGGTTCCCAGAAGCTCAGGACAGGAGGAAGCTGGTTCCCCTTTTCTCGACTTATCTTTGCTTCTGTCTATAGGCCCCAGCCAGATGGCCCCGCTGCCAGCCACCAACATCAGAGCCAAATCCTGGGGTATTTCAGCTAATGGCATCAGCTATTCCAAGCACCCCAAGAGCCTGGAACCTCTAGCCAGTCCTGTGGTCCCCTTTCCTGGGGGGCAGAGCAAGACCAAGAACAGTCCCAGCCTCGGTCTCCACAGTCGCACCCGCAGAGGGGCCCCTCAACCCAGCCCAAGCCCTGCCCAGCTCGCTCAGACCCAGGACCAGCTAGGTACTTGCTGCTTTCAGCACTTCATAGCCGGCCCAGCTACAAGGCTGCCTGGGCACAGAATTGTCAGCAGACATTAGTGATGGGGCCAGAAGCTCATGTAGATCATGTCATTTAATCCTTACAACTTGGATGGGGAGATAACTTAGTAGGCAAAGCCCTTGCTTTGACAGCATAAAGACCAGAGTTTGATCCCTAGAGTGTGCATGTGTGATGGCATATACCTGTAATCCCATTGATAGCAAGATGAAGGCAGAGACAGTCAGATCCCTGGACCTCACTGGACAGCTAGCCTAGCCTATTTGATGAAGTTCCAGCTAATAAGAGACCTTGCCTCAGACAAAAGGAGGAAGGCGCTGTTGCTATGGTTCAGAGGAGGAACAGGAGACTTAGGTGAAGGGACATATATCGCCCATCAGTAGTACAGCTGAAATCTGTCTCCACTGTGCCAAATTCCAGATTATGTTTACTTTGTCTCTATGCCAGGGTGAAGAGGGTGAGGTACTAGGACCTCAACCTCAAATCTTTGGTTTTAACCAAGAGAGAACTCCTTTTTGCACCCCAGTGTTCTTTCGGGCTGACTTGTGTGTGTTCTCTGGGTTCCTGCTAGCCTTAACCGGTGTCTTTATGCTGAGATATGGGCTTCCTCACTCGGACGTTGTGGCTTAGCAAACAGAAACCTAGACACTGTGGTCTGTGCAGAGACAGATGTTCAAAGTGGTGGGCAACCCCAAGGGCGGGAAGCTCACCTCAGCTTCGTGTGTGCTTGACACACATGACTCTGCCTGAGTGTACCTCAGAGTGATGGGTCCCTAGGAGTAGGGAGGGAACTTAGTCTGGGATGACCAAGGAAGGCTTCCCTAGAGGAGGTGACATTGAGACATCTTTGAAAGACATCTGGGGTTTGCCTAAGAGGAAAGCCATTTTGTCTGTATCAGGTGACATCATGGTATTGTGGGTGCTGCTGGAGACCTTGGGTTTATACCTTAAAGAATTGAAAGGTCAAGCAAGCGTTCAGAGGCCAGTGACCATAGTTTCCCACATCTGGGGTAAAGGACAAAGCAACAGCAAACCTGAGATAGTCAAGTGAATGCACAGCCTCAGCTCCCCACTACACATTCATGGGTTTTCTCATTGAGGGCCACATGCTAGCCAGTCCCCGTTGTGTGGACCGTTCTTCTGCCCTTCCATGGCTGGTTTCTGGCTGCCAGGGTGACAACTGCCAAGCCCAGGGCTGAGAAGAGTGTGGAGTAGAGGCCTGAGAATGGGTTCCTGTACATAGCTGGTCCAGGAGAAAGACCGCTGCTGGCTTCTGGGTATCTTGGTTCTGTGATCCCTTGGCAAGCCTCAGGGAACTAGCTGGTTCTAGGGCTGCTGGGAAAAGGGTGTGGTATGAGCCTGCTGTAAGGGTCTGGAAAGAAGTCCGGCTCACACTGAGGTGTGAGTGAAAGTCCCAGTGTGCTGCCATTTGTGTTCTCCCTTGTCCTCTCCTCACCGTGGCCCAACGGCCTCTCTTCTTACAGACCCAGTGCCATCCCTGACCTCCATCCAGCTGCTGGAGAATTCCATGCCTATCACTTCCCAGTACTGTGTGCCAGAGGATGCCTGCAGGTAAACTGGGCTCCCTCCTGTCACCCAAAAGGGGGCCCCTCGGGTGCCATGAGTCCAATCAGTTTGGATGCTCAGATCTTGGCCCTTCAGGGAGGAACTTTTCTCATAAGTTCGGGCAGCCCCTTTCTAGGTTTTGAGGGCATCAGTACAGAAGGAGAGGGAGACCGGCAAAGTGGCCTTGCTGAGGTACCATCTTTGTCCCTTTAGGCTTGGAAACTTCACCTACCATATCCCTGTCAGCAGCAGCACCCCGCTGCACCTCAGCCTGACCCTACAGATGAAGTGAGTGCTGGTGTTGGGGAGGGAGGAAGCCTCTAGAGCCTTAGAAAAGTCAAAGCAGAGTGTTCACTACATTTCTCATGGCGGGGGCGGGTGTGTGTGTGCCCGGCTGCTTGTGGAAGGGCTGCAGAGGGACACTGCTGCTGCGGTTAAGTGGCTATAAGACCCTGCCTCTCTGGGACTACATGGGAGGGTGGGAGAGGTTTCCTCCGTCCCAAGCCGTGGACTATTCTGTGTGGTTCTCAGGCTCTGTGAAGATACGGCTTGTCTTGGGTGGGCCTGGGCTACTCAGATGGGAACCCCATTCCATTAACCCACTTATTCCCTAGTTCCTCCGTTCCTGTGTCCGTGGTATTGTGCAGTCTGACATCAAAGGAGGAGCCCTGTGAGGAGGGGGGGTTTTTGCAGAGACTCCACCCCCACCAGGACACCCAGGTAGGGGAAGGTGGGAAGCAGAGGGCAAGGGTGTGTCTCCGGGAACAACTGCAGCTGGGATCCTGTGTCTGCGGGAGGGGCATGTGTATCAGTCTTCATTCCTCTGTTCTCTGTTGGGCATCTCCATCTCCTAGGACAGTGGCCAGGGGAGGAGAGTGTTTCTAGGGACTGATCTGGGATGAGCATATATAGTGCCCACTGCAGGCAGAGCTGAGCTCCCCACCCCACTCCTGGGGAGGCAAGTATGCAGTCCGCAGCCCCATGTTCAGGGCAGGGCAATGACTGACTGATGTTAGACGAGCTCTGGGCTCAAGGTGGAAGGCTGCCTTGAGGTCCTGCTGCAGCCCAGCTCATGGCGAGTTTTGCTCACTTGTGTTTATTCAACAAGTATTTGTTAAGGCCCCTCTTATCTCCTCCCCTGTGCTTCTATGAACCCGTTCTCCAGGGAGAGAGAGAAGACATGCATTAAATACCATGAGCTGAGGAGGGATCCCAAGGGAAGAGATCCCTGGCCTTACAGAGAGGGACACTTAAGGGTAGAGGGACAATCAGTGAGTCACTTTTAGCAATGGGGCTCTGGCCTAAACTCACACAACAGAAGCCAAGTCAAAGCCTCAGGTAAGACAGGTAATCTGTTCATGGCTGCTGCCCGTCCCTCCCCTGCCATACTGTGAGATAATCACAGCCTGGGGCTGAACCTAGCTCTGCCATATGTGCATCTTGAAGGAGGCAAGGGACTGTTTCCTGTCTGTGAGCTGCAGTTGTGAGCAGGGTTAATGAGAGACTCGCACAGTGTAGAGCACAAGGAGCTACAAGACAAAGGGAGGCCAGGGCTAGGGAAGGTGGCTGCCCCTGTTCTGTAGGAGGAATGGGCTCCCCCTGGGCTGTGATGGTCATGGTGGGAGGAAAGCTGGTTAGGACAAGGCTGCCCTGCCCTTTCTCTCCCTTCTCTCTCTAGGGCACCTCTCATCGGTGGCCAGTAACCATCCTGTCCTTCCGTGAATTCACATACCACTTCCGTGTGGCACCGCTGGTGAGCACACAGACCCACTTGCCCATAGAGGCAGAGGGTGTGTCTATGCAGTATGGGGCTTGGGAGAAGAATAAGGGCTTTGCAAAGCATGGTAGGGCTTGGGGCAACCACTTCACCCACCACTTCCCTTCTACATAGGGTCAGGCCAACTGCAGCTCAGAGGCCGCCATCCAGCCAGCCACAGACTATTACTTCCACTTCTACCGCCGGTGTGACTGAGCTGCCTCCTGGGGCAGTGCCACAGCTGGGACTGGGTCCCGGGCCCTCAACACTGGATGCAAAGGTGTTACACTGGAGCCTGCTGCAGGCCAGCTCTCTGTCCTTTACTGCCTCCCCTTGACTGAGGAGACTGGAAATCTTCACACTGGAGCTGCTGGGCAAGCTGGTTACCCTCACACAGTATAGAGGGGGCTAGAGTGACCAGCATCCTGGGCCTTCCTTCTGGCCACCTCCTCTTGGCAGCACAGGACCAATTCATGGCTGTCTAGATACGGTTGCTGGAGGGCTCAGTGCGGGGCCCTGGAGACAAGGGGAAGCTATGACCCTGACTTGTCCACGCCAACCCTCCCTGCCTTCCCTTCTGAGCTGTGGTGGAGAGAAGAACCATGGGGGTTGGACCCAGACCTGTAACACCTAGCTGGACCCCATGAGTTCATGGAGAGTGGAGAACTCTCACTATGCTGTTCCCAGGAGGGACAGCTCGGTAGTACTTTCTGGGGCTTGACTGTTACACTAGACCTGGATTTCTAAGCTTTAATGTGGTTGGTTCAAGAGAGTTCTCCCTGGGAGAGCTTAGCTCCTAAGAATTCCCGAGGCAGTCGGGGCCAGCCCTGGATGGCTGGAGAAGCTAACCATGTGCCTTAAGTCTACTGGTGTCTGGTGGAGCCATCCTCACAGGGTTGAACCAGTGGGGCCCGATAGGCCAGGTAAGCCTTGGACCCCTGAACCTGGAGTATCCTGGAAGGGAAGGTGCCCTGTGAGCTCCCAAGATCTGTGTTCCTGGGAGCTTCCCAAGCTCATGATGGAGTTGGTGACACGATCATTCTCTGAGCAGAGGAGCAGGAATCCCTGCAAGCAATAGGCCAGTTTCCACTGGAAGGTGGATGCAGATAACGTTATTAATGATGTAATTACTAAATGCACTTAAACCAGGGCAGCATGGAGTAGGAAGGAGCTGGAAAGCTGAGTGGGCTTCAGCTTGAAAGGACCCTGGTCCCCCAGATCAAAGTTCCTCCCTTCAGGCATAGATCTATGCTTGGTGGGCCCCATCTCTGCCTCTTCCACCCCCAGGAGAGGAGTGGTGGATTTGGGCTAAGAGATTTTACTCAAGTGACAGCTCCAGCATTTCTTAGCAGCACCTACAGCATCCTGAGGTCACATGCGGGCTCCTGGAAGGAGCGCTGCAATCATTAGTTGTCATGGACTCAGCAGTGGGAAAGGGAACTGCTCATACCTTGAGATATCCTGACCCTTTGGACACCAGACCTTGCCCTTTCCAATCTCCCATTCTCAGCTCTAAATGGGCAGCCTGTCTATAGCAAAATGAAGTCTGAGAAGTCCTGCCATGGTTCTCAAAGCACTTATCCTCAGGATAGGGAAACAGCAGGGATACCTTGCCCCCAAACTTTCTACCCAACTTGGCTCCATTCCTTTATTCTGCCATAGGAATCGTGGCTCCCCACATCAGGCCATGCCTTAAACCACTCTGTTCTGCCCTCCCGCAGGGTAGTCCTTCCTGCAGTGCCTTAAGACTGCCCAGCCCCACTGCTTTAGTAGCATGCTGGAGCTCCCTCACGAGGGGCAAGTGTTCTTGGACTGTGGCCCCTCAGTCCTAAACTGGAAAGTGACCCTCCACTACTACCCCCTGGAGTCCATCTGGACACAGCCAGCCTACGCACACTGGCAGCTGCCTGTTTGCATGCCTGGGGAAGGGTCCCCAGTGTGAGTTGGGGCCAAATTTGGGCCCCAAGCTGCTTGAGGGGGGGTCAACTTCGGACCAAAGCCGCCTTAAGCCCCAAGTATAAAGGGCTTAGGGGAAGGTGAAAGGGCCACAGGTTGGAGGCTGACAGCCTGGCAGGCCCTTCCCTCCCACTCCTGGTGTGTTCCTATAGCCACTGGGCTAATCTCTCTCTTGCTTTAAGCTGTACATAGGGCCCCAGCACAGACCCCTGCCCACAATGTATCCCTTAGTGGCCTGTGTGTTCATAGAGCGGCTCCCTTCCTGTTAACTCCCCATCTTCTCCTTGAGCTCTGACTCCTATTTATCATGTACTCACTCTGACTCTGAGGAAGGCAGAGGGAAGCCACTGGGCCTACTTGCTTCCTGTTCCCAAACTATCCTTTTCTTCTCAAGTAAATATACATATATAAATAAATGTATAAATACTGCTTTGTATCTGAACTTGCCTCCTGGTGTCTTCTTGAGATTCTTCTGGTGGGAGGGGAACCATCTGAGACCAGGCTGGCTAGAATCCAGTTTCTGAGGAGCCTAGAATATCCTGGTTCCCACACCAGAGGGCCAGAAAGTCACTCCATATCTTTATGCCCCTCATTCTTGGATTTGAGGGTTGGGTTGGCCGCATACACCTCCAGCAAACCTTCATGAACCTGCCCCTCCCACCTAGAAAGACTCCATCTAAGGGAAGAAAACAGGTTGAGCCTACATGACCACAGCCCAAAGTGGGGCTGAGTTCAGAGAAGACTGGCCCAGGGCAAAACTGACAGCTGCTGGGCCCTGGAGAAGTCTGTCCAAATCCACAGAAACAGGTCTGGGTCCTTCCTGCTCACAGGTAAGCCTCACAGCAACGACACTGATCTGGAGTCCTCGCCCCCGTGAAGACAACGCAAACCTCAGCAATAGGTACTGGTGAAAGAAGTGGAAAAGGTGGGACTTTAACAGTCAAGGACACTCCAGGACATTCCTGTGCCTCCACTCCCCCGCCTTGGAATGGACATGAGGCAGGCCGGTCACACATCTGCCTTTATTGTAAACAGCAGTTGGGACACTTGTAGCAATGGTAAAAAAATTAATTTACAAAAGCAGGGACTTGGTGAAGCTGCCTGGTGGGTACCTGGAAGAGGAAAGCAGAATTAAGAATGAGACCAATGACCTTCTACCCCCCCCCCCCCCCCCCGTAGCCCTGTGTTCCTTGAGCAAGGGCTATGCAAGGGTCACCAGGAACAACCCACTGAAGATGGGTCACCAGAACTGACTTTCAGTCACCTGTTTGGTGCTCATCTCTTACTTCCCAGATCCTTTCTAACTCATCGGTATAACTTGAAAGAACACAAATGTAAAAACACAGGTAGCCCTCACCCGCATGCCTACCAAGTGCACCCCCAGCTTGAGTGAGGCCTTGAGAATATGGAGAACTCAGAACTGACACACCAGATCACACTGAGAACTGGGAAGAGTGTGATGTAGCCCAGTGTTTCTGTCTCCATGAATCAGGGAAGAGAGGACCCACTGATATGGCTGTAGGAGGCTTCTTCAGGCATGAACCATCTTGTTACAGCTCTTACCCTTGGGGACTCATACATAGATGCCAACCCAGAGCAGGAGGAAGAGGACTCCAAAGCCCATGAAGAGGGACGCCACCAAGGAGATGAGGAGCTCTTTGTAAATGTCGCGTGTGTACTTGGTGGAGGTGACCTCGTAACTAGGGGGACTGTTAAGGAGAAGCCAAGAGAGCTGGCGCACACCTTTAATTTTAGCACTTGGGAGGCAGAGGCAGATAGGTATCTGTGAGTTTAAGACCAGTTGGTCTACAGAACTAGTTCCAGGACAGTTAGGTCTTCACAAAGAAACTCTATTTTGAAAAACAAACAAACAAAGAAAAACAACCTCCCCCCCTCCCAAAAAAAAAAAAGCAAAAAGGAGAAGCAAAGATGGACTACAACAGCACAGGCACTGTCTAGGACCACTCAACATGGGGAACACAGGCTAAGGGCTTCCTGGAGGCTTGTCTGGCTTGGTGCTGCCAGGCAGAGGGGACCAAGAGATAACACAGGCCCGCTCCATACCATACATGAGGTAAAGAAGCCCACAGTAGCTAGGCCAATCATCTCTAATCACATCTCACAGTACAGCTAATACTGACGCCAGACTTTCTGACACTTGAGCACACCCCTGTTTAAGACCTTTTTGCTGGGTAGAGAGGTGCAACCTCAGCACTCTCTAGAGGCAGAGGCAGTGAACCTCTGTGAGTTTCAGGTCAGTCATGTCTGCACAGTGAGACCCTGTCTCAAAACAACCCCCCCCCCATCAACAAACCTCCTTTCAAAACTTAGTTCAGTCTCAAGAGCAAACAGCTAACTTGAGGTTGGAAAGTGAGGCCATGGCCTGCCTTTCCCTATACTCACCTTGTCCCAACCCCACCTCAAAGGAAAATGTAGCAGGGTGCAGTTACCCAATGTGGTTTCTCTCTCAGTTCTTAGGCCACTAACTCTGGCTCCCTGGCAGCTCAGTAAAAGGATACACGAAGAACCAGGCGGTGAAGAACATGCCGATGGCCAGAAGTACCACAGTCAGGTGTGGGAAGACAGCCGGGTTGACCGGGCTGGTGTACCTACTCATGGCCTCGAGCTCCTAGGGAAGAAAGGAGATCAATCTTAGCTTCAAACTGGGCAGACCCTGGAACAGCCATGCATTGTGGAAGACTGTTAGAGGCACACCTCAGCCTGGGACTCCTTCAAGTGATTCACTATGGGAATGGAAATTACGATAATTTTGTGTATGTGTGTGTGTGTGTGTGTGCGCGCGCGCACACGCTTGTGTCTGTACATATGTGTGTGTGCATTTTAAATTTTTATTACATTTATCTACTCTGCATGTGTGTGGTGCAGGTATCATCGAGAGCATGGGGAGGTCAGAGGACAGCGTGCAAAAGCTGGTTTTCTCCTTCTACCATGTGGATTCCAGGGACTGATCTCAAGTCACCAGGCTTGACAGCAGGTCTATTTACCTGCTGAACCATTTTGCAGATCATTCTCCTTACTCACTTTCTTTTCAAATTTGTGGAAGTTAAAGGACAACTTTCTGAGAGTCACCTTCTGCTGTGTTTGAGGCGAGGCCTCTCTCGTTTCTGTTTTCGGGGTCACTGTGACACGCACTCTAGGTCAGTTGGCCCTCAGGCTTCTGAGCAGTTCTCCTGCTTCCATTTTCCACCTTGCTATATGAGTCCTGGAATTACCACACCTGGCTTTAAAACTAATGTGGATTCTAGGGTCCACACTCAGGTTCTTAGGCTTGTATACCAAACCCTCTAACACACTCCAGCCTTATCACAAGGAGGGATGTGGCAGACTTTGTGGTAGAGCATTTGCATAGCGTGTATCAAGTGTTGGGTATGAGCCCCAACACTGAGAAAACAAACAAACAAACAAACAAAATAACAAAAAAACACTGAGGCTATATCTTTTCTTTCGATGAGATAAGAAGAGGGACTGGAGAGCTGGCTCAGTGGTTAAGAGCACTGGCTACTCTTCCAGAGAATCATGGTTCAATTCCCAGAAACCATGGCAGCTCACAACTGTCCACAACTCCAAGAGCCGACATCCTCATACAGACAGACATGTAGGTAAAATGCTGATGAACATAAAATGAAAATAAGAAACTTTGAAGAAGAAAAAGAGGAGGAGGAGGAGGTGGTGGTGGCGGTGCAATTGAGCTAGGGGCTCAGGTATACAAAGGGATAGAAACTCTTAGGACTATCTAGACAGTGATCTCTAAGACAATCATGGATCTGTCTGGAGAAAAAACACATAAAGAAAAAGCGTGCTGGGTTGGAGAGATGGTTCAGAGGTTAAGAGCACTGGCTGCTCTTTCAGAGGGCCTGAGTTCAATTCCCAGCAACCACACGGTTGCTTACAACCACCTGTAATGAGATCTGGTGCCCTCTTCTGGTGTGCAGGCATACACACAGACAGAACACTGTATACATAATACATACATAAACTTAAAAGAAAAAAAAAAGCTCGCCCACAATTTCCATTGCTTTTGGACTCGTGTCCAGACTCTAAACCACTAATCTGTGCAGGAATCCAAAACCTAGACTAGTATACAGACCTCAAGCTCTAATTCAGGAGCACTTTTTTCACCACATTAGGAGGGAACCACAGGGATCTCCTGGCAGAAGATAACTGTGATAATTCTGGCTTTACTGAATCACTGGGGTTTGACTTAAGTAGTTATGACAGTATTTGTTTCATAGGTCTGATGCGTAATTGGAGAAAGACTTATGAGAAATGTTGACACATCTAGTTTACTGCCCTGCATAGAGTAACTGCTCAATAGGTATTTGTTTCTGTCCTAAGACTGCAGAGAAGCTCATGAGATAATGCCTGTGAAAGGGATATAAACGTAAAGTTCTGTACAAATGTTAACTTCCATTGTCACTTGCCAGCCAATGCTTCTAAAGTCCAGAACATAACAACTCCAGAGAAGTAAACCGAACCCATTGTTCTAAGAGACACAGGAATTCAATTCAGTAAACAATTATGTCCCCCGTGCCCCCCTCAAAAAGTCAAAGACAATTGCTGCCATTTATGGAGCCTCCAATTGCAGGCCCAGTGTTTGACAACAGGAATACAAAGATGAATAGACATTATCCCAGAACTAAATGCACGTCAGATGGTGGTCACTAGGAGGCGTGGCAGAAAAAAGAGAAGTCCATGAAACGTGGCAGGAGGTGTACAGAGACTGTGAGAGCTCCCAGAAAACAGACAAGTGCCTATGAGAGTTTCAAGTGTTTCACCAAGTAATGACATACATCCAAGGGCCTTGCGGGATGAGTTCGGCAAGGGAAACTTTCCAGATAGAGATAACTGATCAGAGGAAAGAGAAATAAAAGCGCGAAGATATTCAAAGTGCACCCCACGCCCCTCAGCCTTATAATCAACAATATCATAAGCCCACTGTGATGGAAACCTCAGTCTGAGAAATCCATGGCAAGGGGCTTGCTGTCCCCGTCCCCAACTCAAACACGGCTACAGCAGCGACCCACCCTCGGGTCACGGAATGCTAAGGACTCCGCGAAAGAACGCGTTGTGGACCGGGCACCCAGGAGTCCTGGCCCACAGCCCTGTCAGCAGCTCCCACCATCTCACCATTTTGCCCCGCACACGATAAACCACCGGTCCACCACCGGAAGAACACGTCGGCAGAAGCAAGCGCGTTAAGCAACAGGAAGAGGATGTGGTCCCTCGTGCGTGGCATTGTGGGACTTGTAGTCCCGCGGTTTCGGGTGTAGCGGTAATTGGGACTATGAGGACTTGGTTCGAGTGGCCTGCTGTCGGACTATGGGACAGGGTAGTGCAGGGTCTCTATTTTAATCCGTTTTTTCCGGAAATAAGGCCCACTATGAAAACTGCTTTCGGAAGTGACGGAGCCAGGACTACATT